GGTTGAAAGAATGGAGATGAAGATGGCATTGAACTAGTGCACACAAAATAGTAGATTGCTGAGGCTTGGTATATTATTTAGCAGGACTTGTTAGGTTGATGAGTAAGAATTTGCGTGAGGAACGAAAGAAAGTGGTGTGTCGATTTTGATGTGGTTGAAAGAATGGAGATGAAGATGGAATTGTATAGCATAATACTAGTGCACCATAGATTGGTGAGTCTAACTTAGTATGTCACGACGACGAAACGTAGAGGCAGTGATGGTTCTAGGCTTCGAATAAGGGTCCCGTTTTTTTTTTTTTAAATTTTCCAAACGTCAGATTTATTCTAGGATTTTGCCCATCACTGCGTCGAAACTGACGAAGTAAGTGTCCCATAGCTGTCTTAAAGTTAAAGTTGATGAGTCTAAAGTTACATAACAACCCTCCTCCCCTTTGTATCATTTAACTACCGTACGCAGAAATCATCCCAAGATCCAGAATAAAACACACTCTTCTTCCATCGTCTTTTCATCCATTTTCGTGTGGTTGGAGCAATTTGATTTTTCTTGGAAACTTCCCCGAATCGTATCTCGTTTCCTGAGCGACTCGGGGATAGAGGTCGTTAATGCGAGTCGGTCGTTACGAGATGCGAATTAAGTATGGTAAATTATAGTTCGCGCGCGTAGCCCGCTCCGCGCTGCCGCTATCCGCCGTGATCTCGCGCACGGACGATCCTAATGAACTTCGCCTCTTCGTCGAGCGTTCCTTCCGTCGGAGGCTTTTCTCGACCAGGCTCGTCTCCAGTTTCGATTCGCGTCTTTTGGATAAAATATATAATACCTAAATTATAATAGCTTGCTTCACGCTAGGTGACTTTTAGCCTGTGATTCGGTTCCAAGGGAGTCGAAAAGGAGCGAGTTTATCGGTAGAAATCGTTGTAGATTCTATGGGTCCAAAGATTCGGCGCCCCGAATGTTGGACCGTCGAACAGAAATCGTGACCAGTGGCGCTTAGGGTGTCCCGTTATTTGTCAGACTGTCCCCCAGAAATTCCCTGGATTCCTTCAAGTACGAGACGGAATTGTTTAGGGTGGTAAAAGTTATCGCGCGTCTCAGAGAGCATAGACAGAAACGAATAGAAGAAGAAGAAGAAGAAGATGAAGAAGAAGAAGAAGAAGAAGAAGAAGAAGAAGAAGAAGAAGAAGAAGAAGAAGAAGGTAAGTAAAGGGGGTGGCAGGGTGCAAGGGAGGATGGCGCGAAGGGATGGGTAGAGGATACGAAGCGGAAAGAAGAGGTGACCGAAGAGAGAAGAGAAAGACAGTGGCGGGGATTCTTTCATGCCCTTCGGAAACGTCATATAGCTGTCGGGTGCCGCGGAGGCAATATTTCACGCCGGTAGGTCCGCCTGTCCTCCTGCCCCCCTTCGTTCCTACACTTTTGAAGGAGTTTTTACGGAGTCTCTCGATCTTTAATCACAGCTCGACCTTCCATTGTCAGTGACGTCACCTCCGACTCCGAAAGGGTGTTCGGGGGATGCTTTGTGTCGAGCTGCGCCGATCCCTCTCCGCGTCATTTGTCTCCGGATGCCTTATTTGTACGCGCATACAGCGAACCGAGTCGCGAGCAACCAAAGGAGACGGCAAGATGGAAAGATGGAAAACGGAAAACGGGGCTCGCGATATCACCGAGAATGCGTAGATAGACGGATGGATAAGGATCGAGCAGCGCAAAGTGGACGAAACGTACACACCATAGGCAGCTTTCTACATCAGTTTCAGCGGTAGTGTTGCAAAGGGAAAATTTTAGGCTTCTGATATATAATTGAAGAATTGTTTTTTACTTGTTCAACCCTTTCAGATCCGAATAATTTCTTGTCTCGTACTAATGTAATTTAATTTTTAGCGTTGGACTAAAATTAATATTGTGGGAGTCTAAACGAAAAATGGGGCACGTGGGTACCCCACGTTTCGTGTTCTCATTTGACTCCTTATTGTTGAGTATGGGAGGAGCGGTTACTACAGCATTGAAAAAATTAAAAAGAAAATCCTAATAGTATAGTTTTCGAGGAAAACTGGTCTTTGTTTACGTGCACAATTAAGGGCGTTTAAATGATACGTAATTTTATAGCTAGAAAAACTATCGTCATTTTCGTAAAACTTGTTAGTATAAAAGCTCGCTCGAGAAAATTGAAGTTGGAGGTACGAAAGTCCCCACCCTTCAAAATGACGACGAAAAGTGGAACATTCATTAGAGAAACGCGTCGTGCACGTAACGGTTTGCTAAATTTCTACGAATCCCCTCGAACCGCCGATTCTTAAGACGTTTCTTGCTCGTAAGAAGAATCGTCTCATCGATTCGCAAACCCGGGGGATTATCGCGAGAGGCCATAAGCCGAACCTAATATGGAACGCTCGGTTATACGAACCGAGAAAGAACGGGTATCGATCGTGTCTCGGAACAGAGTTGTCTAAATATTCTACCACGGTAGACGAACATGCAATTCGCAACGATTTGT